CATTTTAATTTGGTTTAATCTGACCTAATTGGATTTTTTGTACACCAGCGGAGCGGCTCGTCTTAGGATTTTTTTCCTAACACCGAGCATAGATAGAATTTCCCCTCAGCCTTCAGTTGTCCTGGGCTTGCACCCAACAAAGCATGACGGTATTCATTTTGTGGGCAGTATATGAGTATCCCAGGCAGACCCTGGGGGCAGTGGGCAGAGGGCCTGAGGAAGGAGACGGGGACAGAGGGGCCTCTGCCACAGTTGGTACAGTTCTCTCTCCAGGAGCACCACTCTCTCTGTCCTCCCTCTGGGCAGCTTTATAAGCCTACTGTGAGCTGTGTTTGTGCAAGCATGACCAAAAAGTTGCAAAGCCAAGCCTCATACTCTTACTACTCTAATAACCCTTTTGCATACATTTTTCAAATGATAATTCACTCCATCCACACCCTCTCCCTAGCGGGTATATTAAATAACACACCTTACACTAGCTTTGCTACGACACCATATGGCCTTTATGGGGACTCTGAAGAAGACCAGCTTTGAGGCTAAGAAGATGGTTTCACCATTAAGAGCACTGTGTTCTTGAAGAGGAGTTTCATCTCCAGTACCCAAGTCAAGCAACTTCACAGTTGCTTGTAAGTAAATCCAGCTCCAGGGGATCCCATGCCCTCTTCTGTCCCCTGCATACCAGGCCACCAGCACACATGAGGCATACACACAAAGAGAGACATGCACACATACACAGAAATAAAAACAAAAATAAATCTTAATAATAAAATCATCCACATGGTTTTATGTCGCTCTGGTGTTTCTGAAAGAAGCTCTGTCTTCCAGTTCTCATGGAGAAGGACTTTCCACATCACCTGACTCCTGCAACCTCGACCTTTCTGAAGTGACCTGCTTCCTGTGTGCCTGAGGTGCCTTTAAACCAACTCAAGTTTCTCTGAGGCTGGCCCACTTCATTCTTGAAGGTCTATGTGGCAGAAGTACCTTGAGGCATATAGCTGTTGGGGGGGGGGAGGAGAAGAAAGTATTTCTGGCCAGGGAGTGTCCTGGGGATGTTGTAGTTTGGAGGCAGCTGTGATGGGGGCCCGTGATCTCTATGTATCCTGCTCTCCTTGCCATGGGTCAGCATCTGAGGGAGGCTGTATTAGGGGAGAGTGTAGAAAACAGTTTCCTTTTGGGTATATGGATCAAAGTGGACAGTGTCACTGGTATCCATGATCCCTACTTGTGATCCCCGCTTGTGCCGGAAATAAAACACAACCTTCTTCAGTTGGCCTGGGATGAACTCTCTGTTCTCTTGATTTGATCTTTGCTGAGATGGGTGGAGAATTTTCACAGTATCAGAAAGCTCTAAGGTCATTGCATGATAAGAAAACTCAGGGGTAAAGGAGGAACAAATAACATATGGTTTCATGATGTTTTAGGGATAAATGGCAGCTAGCTTATTCTCCTCTGAGGTCACTGAGGCCTGAGCAATTAACTAACTTTTCCAGAAGATTTGAGCTTGCTGGGTGTATAGGCTCACACCTGCAGTCCTGGCACTGGGGAAACTGAGGTAGGAACATAACCATGGCAAGTCTGGGCTACAGAGTAAGACCCAGCCCAGCTAGGAGGTGGTCACCTCCTGAGGTACTGTTGCTTCTCCATCAGAGAGTGCCAAGAACCTCTCAGATGCTGTTCTTATCTCAACATAGACAAGAAGAAGTTGGTGTGGGGGCACAAGCTGTAATCCAAACATTCAGGAGTTCAAGATCAGCCTTGGTTGCATAGCAAGTTCAAAACCAGCCTGGGCAACATGCTACCCTTTCTCAAAAAACAGATAAAAAGGGAAGAAGTGATAGATGAGGAGGGACATTTTAAGCCCTTCATCCTCCACCCTTAACTTGACTCATTCCCCATCAATACACCGAGGAATTCAGATTTTTCTGTCTGTCTAGACAGCCAGTAATGAAAACAAACCTCCCTCTTTCTAAGGTTTGTCACAGGCATGGAAGTCTGACTGACACAGACTTAAATGCTGTAGCCCAATGTCAGAAGTCCCCAAAGATCAAAACCTCTCAAGTCTAAAATCCCATAAGATCAAAATTTGGACAATACAATTCTGGAAATAACAATTTTAATGTTTTAAAAGACAGTTATTTTCATTTTAAAGGAGCATTATTGAAGATGTGTGTGTATACAACAAACATGCTATTTCCAAATTAAAATAGGCATAAATAATATACATGCCTTTGCAAGAAGAAACACTCAGCTATAATATAGTCCTACAGGTATAGCAACTGTGAGTAAATGACATGGGTTCATAAGTAGGTTAAAAACAAAACTTACAAACAAATGAAAGGGCTGGTAGGATAGCTCAGCTGGTAAGGGTGCTCGTGTGGGAGCCTGAAGACCTGAGCCAAACTCCCAGCTCACACAAGACTGGGAATGAGATGATTCCCAACAGCTGTCCTCTTATTTTTAGGCATAAGACATCATGCACACAAACACATACACACTAAAGAAATATAGAAAACAAAAATTTAAAACTGAATAGAGTAAAAAGAAAACTGTAAATAGGCATGTCATTACTATATTGGTTATTTTTCTCAAGCCACTGTGACAAAATGCTTGGCAGAAACAACTGACATGAGGAGAGCTTCACTTTGACTCGTAGTTTTGGGGCTCCTCCATGGTGGTAGGAGGGCAAGGTGATGGGCCTGCTGAGTGGTGGCAGCATCATGTGTCAAGCGTTAACTCCTCACATCTCGGTCAACCAGGAAGCCGAGACTCGCCTTGGCCAGAGAGCCATGTATACATTACCTTCAATGCCTGTGCCCAGAGAGGCACTTTTGCTAAGTAAACCATAGTTCCTAAGGTTCCACAACTGTTCCAACCAGTGCCACATCCTGTAGACCTGGTTTTTAAGCCTGTGGAGAATGTTTCTAAGTCAGGTCCCGATGACTGTGCTTGCTAACTGTATGCACCCAACTTTATGAATGTAGTCAATTGGAGTGATTTGATGGACAACCAACCTCTTCTTGAAAGAACGAATAAACAAACAAAATGAACAGTAAGTGTGAGAGCCAAAGCTACATTTTAAGTTTTAATTACTATACCTAAGAGATCAATGAAACAAAAATGTCCAAGGACAGACAGTTTCTTAAATGCTGGAGGCTACTGTTTATGGGAGATAACAAGTCACATGTTTTCACTCCCTAAACAAGTTTGTTTGACTCATCTGCACACAGGTAGGAAATATGTCAGGATGTATATATAATTGCTGCTGGTTGGGTGTAGGTAGGCAGTATGAGGGATGGATACATTGTTGTGCCCAGATTACGGCCCCCAGAGAGAGACCACCAGAGAGGCCCAGACTATAATAAGCAAAGTTTAATCAGCCTAATACAAACATGTTTGGAACTCATCTCCACCCCTGTAGTAGTGAGGTAGAGAGGAGTTGTATCTCCTCTGTGGGGTAAGCTTTTAAAGGCATAGCTACAAAGAGGCTTTTTGAGGCTGTTTTGGCATGGATGTAAGGACTTTTGCTCCCTCCCATGCTGCTAAGTCAGCTTTCTCCTTGTTCTTAGAGTAAGGCCACTGTTTCTGGGTCAGGCCATCTTCATCAGCCTGTACCAGGTGGCTGGCTGGGCTGGGCTAAGTGACCTTGTGCTCGGAATCTCCCGGGTGGGAGGGGGAAGGCCATCATCTTCCTGGGAAAACATTTTGCTAGGAAATTTCTTTTCGCCCCTTTGAGAATAAGGGGTGAGGGTCCCACAACATCAGTATGTATGCTTGTCACTGATGGGACCTCATGGGAAATGCGGTGAATTGTAGATTTTGCTTTCTTAACATGACTCAGGGCTATTTCTAGGAACCCAGTATGGACCTGGCCAGAACCCATCCACCTGGCCAGTATTTAATTAAAGCTTGCTTCAAATTTGGCTTTAAACTGTGATAGTGCTCTGTCTCTTGATCTGTGGAATTGATGTTAGCTGCTATAGGGGAGAGGTATGCTGCTAGTGTTATGACCCCCAAAGGTCTCAGCATGGAATCTGATGCTTATTGGAGCGACTGTAAACTCTGAGAGACCGACTTGCCATCTGGGTTTACTATATCTAGCTTGCCAGGACCTATTCAATGTCAATGTGAAAAGAACGCTCACCCCAAAGGAAATAACAGCTTTGGAGCCAAATAAGAGGCCATGGCCCATAAACACATTTCTGCCTTCTCAAATAACATGGTCAATGTCGAAAGTTTTTAGAAGTTTTTATAGTAACAGAAAAATGAAAGCCATAAGCCAATGCATTTTAAAAATACATTGGTAGAAACGTTAAGAGGACAGAGTGCAGTGGAGAAATCTCAGCCATAGGCTTCAGATGCTTTCTGAGCATCCTTAAGCCCTTTGATTGGCAGAACTATTGCCTGCAGCATTCCGGAAACTCTCTCCATCTCACTGAAGTGCTAACCGGCCTCTGCAGACACAGCTTCTTTCCAGGGACTCTCACTCACACACAGAGCAGATCTTCCTTACTCAATCAGCCGGAACACGTGCTTGCTTCTGGAAATCTCTCTGGTGTAGTCAAATATGGCTCTCTCCGGCTTTTAAGCCTGTTCATCCGATGGGTTGAAACAACGGAAAGTTCTCTAATTCCTCCCAACTCCCATAAGATCTTTCCCAGCAAGCAGGAGTTTCGATTAAGTCCTGTGCCTTGAGACGATCATTTGATTCTCCTTATTTCTGCGCACATCATTTGTGCTTAATTTCATAGTCTATCCCTCCAATTCTGGGCGGGATGTGCTGGTCCTATCCCGGACTCCAGCCATAAGAAGCTGCGACAACGTCTGGGACATTATTCTTGTCCCAATAAGCAGACTGTTTACGCTCAACCGACTGTGGTTAAGAGTGACGACCGGCGCAGCACCGGCGGGGGAAGGGGGGGGGGGGGGGATCTCACAACCACGCCTGCGCAGCCCGAGGCGGCGCTTGCGCAGGCGCCGGAGACCGAGCCCGGAGACGCGCGTGAACCGTACGTGTGTTATGGCTCTCAGGCCTCAGAGGACTTTCAGGCGGCGTCAGGTCGAGTCCAGCGACAGCGACAGCGACGGCCAAGAGGAGAGGCCTGCAGAGGAGCCGGGAGAGCCAGGCCGGCCATCTGCGGGTGGAAGAGCAGAGGGAGTAGAACCGCTGCGGAGGGCCCGTGGCGCCCGGGGCCGAGGTCGGGTGTGGGCGAGCTCCAGGCGCAGCCCCGGAACTGCTTCCCGCGGCGCAGGTGACCGATGGTCGGGAAGAGGTCTGATCCGCAGGGCTCCAGCTCCAGAGGCCTCTATCGTCTTTGGGCTGTTGGACCGCTTCTGTAGACTTTAGTGGCACGTCGTAGTTTGCGTACTCTGACGATCCACACCGACTAGTGAACCCAAATCCTCAAAGAGGAGTCGAACTACTGGTGCTCTTAAAAGTAGCTGAGAGTCAGATGTGCCATTTGGAAATTTCTTAGCAGTTTTCTAAGAACACCTGACAATTCATTTAAAGACTAAGGGGCAGAGTTTGGAACATTGTCATTCTTAAAATCAGTTATCTGCAGTAACAATAAAACGTAGGTAAAAATAATGTAAAACGAGATTGGTGACACTATGGACTGTTCCATTCTGCCATCGAATACAAAGTCAATTGAGGACTAGAAAGGCAGATCTGAGTTAGGTGTCCAGCAGCCACATGGAGACTCACAATGGTCTGTAACTCTAAGAAGTTGGAAGCCCTCTTTGACCTTGTCGGACAGCAGACACACACATCCATACGTGCAGACAGAACACTCAACACTTCATCAGTCCTGAAGCCCTGACTTTCTCCTATTTTTAGCCCCATTAAAGAATATGAGTGATTTTTCATATATGTTCACTTGTAAATGAAAGTTGGGCATGTTTAATGGTGTACCAAGATGATTTGAGATACTTTGGGTTGCTTACACAGATCTAGTTTATTTTCATGGTGGGAACCCATAAAATCCTCCAGCCATTTTCCAATAGAGCATACAGCAAAACACATCACTATTTACTGATACAATGAGCTTATTGTACTAAACTTATTCTTGTAAAGTTTTGTAACCTTTGCCAACATATCTCCACATTAGCTCGTATTAACCACCATTCTACTCTGTCTCTGTGACTTCCTCAGATTGTTTGGATTCGACATATTAGTGTGTACTTGCCATGTTTGTCCTTGGGTGCTGAGCTTCTTTCACTTAAAGTCTTCAAGGGTCAGCCTCTTAGTGATTTTTTTTTAAGTCACTGTGAGGGCCCTCTGTTCATCTAATGTTTCAGTGATCTTTTTATTTATAACAAAGTAAGTCAGTCCACCTTGAGTAAGAGTACTGAGGCCGCAGAGCACCATCTCTTCCCTTCTAGAACAGTGCTTCTCAATCTTCTTTGCCTTTGGACTTTCTTTCTAACTCTTTAGGGGCCCCAAAGGGCTTTTGTTTCCATGGGTTATTTTGAATTTTGTTACCACTCTTCTAAAGAAGCCATTTACTTGATTCAAGACTTAATAAAATTCACTCTTTTTATTGCTTCATCAACAAATGTAAGCAAAACTGCCTTTTTTTTCCTCTCTTGATTAAGGGTGGTTGTTAGCTGTCTGACCCAGATGCTGGGAACCAAACTTGGGTCTTCTGCAAGGACAGTATGTGTTCTTGACCTCTGGTCCGCCTCTCAGCCTCCCTTTAAAGCGTTTATCTGCTCCGGTCTTTTTGAGCTCCATGTAGTTGAACTAAGAGGAAATCTTATCAATTAAATATGTTTATTTTGGCTATTGATTCAAATATTTTGACTTTCTTGCTTCTAAAGGTGTCCTCTTAGAATCCAAAACAGTCGACCTCTCAGCGGATGAAGGGGAAGGAGCACATCCCTCATCGGAAAGTGAGGAGGGTTCAGCGGATGAAGGGGAAGGAGCACATCCCTCGTCGGAAAGTGAGGAGGGTTCAGCGGGTGAAGGGGAAGGAGCACATCCCTCGTCGGAAAGTGAGGGTGATCAGAGTCCATCCTCTAACCGCTCTAGTTCTCTGAAAGAGAAAGAAGTTTCACCCACAGGTTGGTAATTTTTATAATTTTACATAACTTACTTAACTAACTTCCTTCCTTTTTCAAGACAGGGTCTCACTTTGTACCCCAGGCTGGTCTGGAATTCATTCTGTAGCTTAAGCCAGCCTCAAACTCACTATCTGCCTCCTGAGACTATGATGTATCGCCATGCCCAGCTCTAATATCAGTACTTCATACACCAGTAATTCTTATTGTTGATGAAACAGTAAAATGTAGAGAGCAAATGGGTCATTATTTATAGCATGATATGCCGGAGATCAGACAGGAAGTCTCCTCCACAGTATGTTCTTAACTACTGCTCTTTGCAGTCTCATAACTAGAGGCCGGTAAGAGTTTGTGAGAATGTTGTCAGTGCCAGTAGCATGTCTCAAACCTGACGGAGAACATTATAGTATATGTAGGAAACTTATAATGACAATATAGTATGTGTGGGAAACTCATAACGGCTTTTTTTTTTAAAAAAAGATTGGTCATTAAAAACTTTGAGATATTAAGTCTGTTGTGGCATTGTACTGGCAAATTGAGAAGTTTTCGTGGACCTTTCCTTAGGCCCAGGAAGTCAGAAATGTTCATCCAGGTCTTTAAATGTAATCCGGGGCTTTGTAGCTTGTTTTCTGCTGTATAGACTCTTTCCAGTCCAGTGGCACTTAAGACACCTGTGAGAAAAGTAGTGCAGTTCCCGGCACCCACGTTGGGCTGCTTACAGCCACTCGTAACTCTAGCTCCAAGCGTGTCTGATGTCTCCAGCCTCCTGGGGTACCAGCCTTCATGTGTCAAATACACATGCACAATTAAAAATAATAAATAGTCCTTGGTAAGCAAATGCAGTCTCGGGTAGATTCCAGATGCAGCACCGTCCAATAGAATTTTTGTTATGATGGAAAAATTGTGTACCTTCACCATCTAGTACAGTAGCCACTGGCCACAAATAGCTATGAGCTCTTAAGACAGGGATACTGTAACTAAGCAGCTGACTTTTTGATCTAATTAAATTGATATAGTAAGATCAGGCTAGTAGCTGCTGCAGTCGGCAGTGCTTCTGTGTGTAAACAGTGTGAGAGAATGTTCTGAAGTATTGAGGAGAGGCCAGTCTGCGACAATGTGTAGGGTAGTTTCTGATCAGAGAGTTGTGCAGTTCCCCAGGGGGAGAGGGCGGTCGGTTCCCTTCAGAGTGCAGGACAGCTCCACAGTAAAGCATTGTCCCTCCTCCACATACCGTTAGAAACATGGCTGTGCTATCTAGAGAAGATGGTAAGGCTGGATCTGATGGCCTGAGCCCGTCGTCCCAGCACAAAGGCTCACATGTACAAAGAATGCTTTTGTTACATGTTCAGATGATAGACCTAGAGAATTAGCCAGTGATAGACATTTGCCCTGAGATACTCTCTGTGGCAGATTCTTCTTACCAAAAAAACATCAGATTGTTAGATGATTTCCTGGTAGATGGTGCACATGCAAACATGAGCTATCGGAGCACGTCTGTATCCATTCTGCCCTTATCTGACATCTGCTGTGTGGGAACCATGGAGGTTTGGAGGAATGGGACAGGAAACATAGTTTCCCTTCCCTCAACTTTCACTTAGAACTTGGGAGAGGCCTGCTCTCTGTGACACCAGCATCTCAGCAGTGAGCCCCGTGCCTGGAATGTAGTGTCTGAGCCCACCAGCTCATGCAGGTGACCCACTTCCAAGTCATGTCTGTCTCCAGTACACTTAAGTATTGGAGCCAAATGTGTTATTGTAACCTCCTCCACATTCCAGTCCTCTCAGAGGCTGTACAAACAGACCACTCAACTCCAGGACCATAGGTTACTAAGGTCCCCAAATGTTTCCCCAGGACTGAACCAGGTGTTCTCTCCTGTGATCTGACACTTTAAACTGCTTTAGATGCTAATAGCTGCTCTTCTCAGTTTCAAAGACATACACTACCATTATCTTATCTTCACATACACCACCATTAAATCATTACCCAGATTAGGAAAGGCTCAGAGCTCTGGCAGGTTGCTCATAAGCAACAGTTTTCTTTTTCAGTATTCATTTAGTTAAAGAATTCAGCAACAGTTATTTGATTTACGCTTCATTCTGTTCTGTTCTGTTTTTTTGTTTGTTCGTTTATTTGTGGGTTTTTTTTTTGTCTTTTTTGAGACATGGTTTTGCAGTGTAGCCCTGGCCAGTCGTGGTGCCCAGGCTGGCCTTGAACTCTCTGCAGTCTTCTTTCCTCTGATACCCTGGGATTGTTAGCATGTGGGGCCCATTGCCACACATGTTTTATAATAATTATGTTAAATCCTGTAAGAGAATAAAGGCACACCTGTCCCTTTACCTCCTGATAATAATCTTTAAATAAATACTGGTCCAGCTGAGTGACACCTGTTTGTAATTCCAGAGGATCACAAGTTCCAGGCCAACTTGTCCTACATGAGACCCTGTCTCAAAGAGAAATAAATAACTGGGTTACTGAGATGGCTTCTGGGGTTAAAGATGCTTGGAACCAAGCCTAAGGACCTGAGTTTGATACCTGGGACCCGGGTGATAGAAGGAGAGAACCGACTCCCACAAGTTTTCCTGACATCTATGTGTGTGCTTCTATTTCCAATAAAATCAATAATGTAACTAGACTTTTTGAAAGGAAAAACAAAGTATGTACAAATTGCCTATTAAAAAACAAATAATTTGGGCCGGGCGGTGGTGGCGCACGCCTTTAATCCCAGCACTAGGGAGGCAGAGGCAGGCGGATCTCTGTGAATACGAGACCAGCCTGGTCTACAAGAGCTAGTTCCAGGACAGGCTCCAAAACCACAGAGAAACCCTGTCTCGAAAAACCAAAAAAAAACAAAAAACAAAAACACAAATAATTTGATAGCCTGATTGGATTAAGACATGATTTTTATTTATGTGCATGTACATATGTACCAGTACATGCAGCAGGTGCCCACAGAGTCCAGAAGAGGGCGTTAGATCCTTTATGGATCACAACCTGCTCAAGTGAGCACTGGGAACCAAGCTGGTTCTGGGGAAGAGCATCAAGCATTTTTAACTGCTGAACCATCTCTTCTCGGCCTCTCCTCTTCTTCTCTTCTTCCTCCTTTCATTCATTCATTCATTCATTTATTTATTTATTCTCTCTGTCTCAGTCTCACTGTGTGTGTCTGCACATACACATAAGCATATACAGATCAGAGGATGGCTTCCATGAATCTTTTCTCTTCCCCCCCATGAAGGTCCCAGGGATCAAACACAGGTATCAGACTTGGCAAGCTTAAGCTGTCTTTCTGGCCCCATGATTGTCTTACTGTCAGTGACTGATTTCTAGCAATTGCTGTGTATTGTTTCATGATTGACTCTGCACATTTTATTTTCCTAGGACTGCTGTCACTGAGTCTGTTGTATGATGACTGAGACTTCTGAAGTCTCGACTTTTCCTCTTGTGTTTTAAGCATTAGAGCATTTGCATTTATGTTTTCTATTTGCCTGATACCTGTCTTGTATCCTCAGAAAGTTGAGGTCAGGGTTGAGGTATAGCTGAGTTGGTAGAGTAAATGCCCAGCAGTTATGAAACTCTGGATTTGGATCCTCAGCATCACAAAAACTAGTCATGGTGGTCCATGCCTGGGGTCCTAGCATTTGGAAATGTAAAGAAGGCAGGAGGTTCGAAGTCATTCCTGCTTACGCAGTGGCTGCCTGGGCTTCATGGGACTTACATCTCTATTGTTTTCAGGTGCTTGAAGTGGTAGGAATTTCTCCCATCATCTTATTTATGGTGGCATTTTCTTAAGAAAATATTTTTATGAACTATAAAGGAAAATTTTATGCACAAGGAAACCTCAGTTCCTAAATTATAAGAATTCGTGTTAGTGAATATATGCTATACTATAGAAATAAAACAAAAATTAAAGTTTCACTGAAGTTGTCATTTAGGGACTGGAGAGATGGTCCAGCAGTTAAGAGCACTGGCTGCCCTTCCAGAGGACCTGGATTCAATTCCTAGCACCCACCTGAGTAGCTGACAGCTGACTGTAACTCCAGTTCTAGAACATCTGATTGTCTCTTCTGCCTGCATGGCCACCAGGTTCACACATGTGTACAGACATACATTCAGTAAAACATTCATTCATATATATATATATATATATATATATATATATATATATGTATAATAAATCTCTAAAGCAAAACAAAAATGCCTTAAGAAAACAAAAACTCATTTAATTAGGTTCATTTATCTGGCGAAAAGAATTTATTTTCTTTATGTTTAACTTCTCTCATTTCTTACATGTGGGTCTCACTGCAAAACCTTGATAAGAAAGTAAAAGGCACAAGGGAATGGTGCCAGTGTATTCTCTGTAGTGCTAGATTACATTCACTTCTCTATATGCATTTTATATCTATTACATTAATTTTCTTCCTTTATTTTTTTTAATTTTTTTTTTATTGCGAAAAGAAGAAAAAAAAACATAAACAAAAAAACAAGTTTCCACCTCCTCCCAGCCTCCCATTTCCCTTCCCTTCCTCCCACCCTTCTCCCCCTCCTCCCACCCTTCTCCCCCTCTCCCCACTACTCTCCCCCCCCCCTCCCTCTCCAGTCCACAGAGCAGTCCGGGTTCCCTGCCCTGTGGTAAGTCCTAGGTCCTCCCCCCTCCGTCCATATCTAGGAAGGTGAACATCCAAACTGGCTAGGCTCCCACAAAGCCAGCACATTAAGTAGGATCAAAACCCCCTGCCATTGTCCTTGGTGTCTCATCAGCCCTCATTGTTCGCCATGTTCAGAGAGTCCGGTTTTATCCCATGCTTTTTCGGTCACAGTCCAGCTGGCCTTGGTGAGCTCCCTGTAGATCAGCTCCACTGTCTCAGTGGGTGGATGCACGCCTCGTGGTCCCGAATTCTTTGCTCATGTTCTCCCTCCTTCTGCTCCTCCTTGGGACTTTGGGAGCTCAGTCCAGTGCTCCTGTGTGGGTCTCTGTCTCTATCTCTATCCATCACCAGATGAAG